GGGGGGGGATTAAGCACAGATGTTAGGAGGCTGAAGCAGAAGAAAAGGCTAGCAGCAGGGAGGATGGTGACTCTAGCTCCCTGACCTGTGGGGATGGGCCCAAGATGAATACAAATGAATGCAAATGAAAAGGTGAGCCATGCCCACAAAACTCAGTTTTCACAGCCTGTTGTTCCACATGCAGAAGAGCAAAAAGTCCCGGGCCTCCGGGGGCACAGAGGCCGGAAGGCCTGACCGTCCTTGATGGACATATGAAACGAGACTCAAGAGAACTGGGGTGATGTGAGGGCTGGGGGGTCCACCAGGGCCTTCCCTGCTGTGGCGGCAGAAAGAGCTCACAGTCTTCGGAAGCTGAGTTGTGGCCATTACTTACTCTGGTCTTTCTGGGCCTCAGTCTTTTCATCTACAAAATGGGAAAACCATCCCTAGCTTGCCAATTGTCATATTGCAGGGAACGCATCTGGAGTTCCTAACACTTAGGAGGTGCTCAGTAAATGAACCCCAATCTCACCTTTCTGTTACCCAGAAGGCTCCAGCCTTGTTGCTAAGATCCGAGATTTTCTAAACCTCTGTGAGATGCGCTCTAAAAAGAACAAGGGGTAAAATATCACTTATTCCCCAGATCAGGCCTTTGGGTCTTGATTTCTACTTTCTACCTGGCTCCTTAAGCAGAGACGAAGTCAATGTACGGAAAGACGGGACAGCAAGGGTGACTGCAGGCAGGTTCTTTTCAGTTGCCCAGGTCCTAAGCACTCCAACAGCCCATTCTACAGATGGGGATGCTGAGGCCTAGATGGGGTGTTTCCTCGGGTAAGCGCCAAGAAGTGTTTGGGATGAAGAACATCTGTCCAGGCAACACACCTAGGCCACAGGTAGTTCGCATTCTTTGGCCAGCCAGGGAGTGCCTCACACCCCCACAACGCCCCACCTCAACCCTGCCGCTTAAACTCTCGTTTCCCTGACAGCTCACGGGAGAGAAGACAGCAGAAGCGCCTGACACGCAGGAGGCACTCAGGACATGCTTCCTGAGTGAATAAAGGAGTGAGTGAGCGAGAAAGAACGGATGCAGAGTGGCAGAGTGAATGTTGAACGAACAAACGCAGGAATGAGTGACTCGCTCAGGAAAGGAGCGGGGGTCCACGCCCAAGGCATGGGGCACAGGTGACTCACTCACAGGGGTGTCAGCCAGGGGCTGGGGGGTGCAGGAGGAGACTCAGGATGGCTGGGACCCCTTGCGCTGCGGGCGCTGCATCACCCTAGCCCCCCTGTGCCTGTTTCCTTACTATTACGAGCAAGGTAATCCTCCCCCATCAGGACAGCTGTGAGATTAAATGAGTGTCCATGCCACCTTTGAATGCCTGTTCCCCTGGTCCCTCACAGCTGCCACGCTTGGTGTCTCCTGACCAGTCCCCAAGACAGGAGGAACAACGTGTGTGCGTGCGCGTGTGTGAAGGAGCAGGACCACAGGTAGCACACGCAACCCTACTCTGGTCAGCAGCCCCAGTTCCAGAAATGAAAACAAGGACA